TTATTTTTAAAGGAATAATCACATCTGTTTTCTTTTTCATTTTAACAGTAAACCTCTGTTGTGCAGCACTTTGTTTGCCAAAAAATAAAAGAGTTTAATTTTCATTTGATTAGGATAAATTAAATTAATGTTTTATGCCTTCATCTGATTACCAGAAAAATTAAGAACATTTTATAGGGCCCTATTATTGTTTAAAAAGGACCCTATACAAAAAAAAGAATAGGTTTAAAATACAGGCATGTGGCTTAATTTCTTTTTATTAATTCACCATTTGTAAACTGATATTTACTTTTCATTTTTTAGAAATATCAATAGCATTTGTATTAAAACTATATTCACTGAATGTAATAAAAAGAAATCGAGAATCGAATCGAGAGCTTGCGAATCGAAATCGAATCGAATCGGGAAATCTGAATCGATACCCAGCCCTAGTACTAACTTGTAAAACAGAAAATATAAAAATTAGTTACTAAAACTTTAAAATTAAAATAAAAACCAAAAGTATAAAACTAAAAACTAGTTACTAAAACTAAAGTACAATTAAAATTAAAACAGAAAATATAAAAATAAAAATTAATTACTAAAACTTTAATTAAAATTAAACTAAAAATCAAAATATAAAAATAAAAATAAGTAGCTAAAACTTTAACTAAAATTAAAATGAAAACATAAAATATAAAACACCGTGACTGCGCTCATCACTGACCCTTTGTGTGTGTTTGAGGTGGTGGATGTCTTCATGGAGGGGAATCTAGTGCAGCAGTGTACTTCATTCCTATTGGACGCTCTGAAGAACAACAGGCCGGAGGAGGGGCCTCTGCAGACACGCCTCCTGGAGATGAACCTCATTCACGCCCCTCAGGTGAACCGATCAAACACACCGAAGCTCATGCTGCCTTCACGGCATAATTATACAAGATGATGAGCCAACACGAGTACCACCACATTATTATAATAATGTCTGAGAAACCTTTTAACTTGAACCAGAGTTTTTTTTAGTTTTTTCTATTTTTAGTTTTAATTGTATTTATTTATGTTTTAATTTTGACCATTTAATTGTTTTTATTTTAGAATTATTTATATTGCATTATAGTATTTATAGATGTTTATTATTTTTTACATTTATGAAGTTTATTCATAAATACTTTTAAAGTTTTAGTGATTTTGTTATGTGCTCATTTTTATTATTATTATTATTTTTTTTTTAATATTTAGCTTTATATTAATGATATTAACAAGTTTTTTTTTTTAGTTTTAAGTGAGTTTTTCCATCTAATATTTATATTTTCATTTTAATGTTATTTCAATTAATGCAAACCATTTTTTTATTTTTTGTTAGCTAAAATGAATAACACTGCAGAGAACGGTCAATGTAAATAAATAAAAAATCACACGGTAAACATGAATGTTTAGTTTGTATGTTTTGCATTTTGTTGATGAAGTTTAGCTTATTTTTAGCCTAGCTTAGCTCTTTCATACTCAACAAGTGAGAGAGTCCAAAAACACTTTAAATGCACATTACATCATAATTTTGATTTCATAAATTTCATAAACCAAACGCCTATCACTACAAGACTTTTGGCTGTTGTGTTTGTTATCTGCGTGTGTTTGCAGGTCGCAGACGCGATCCTCGGGAATCAGATGTTCACTCACTACGAGCGCGCTCACATCGCTCAGCTGTGTGAGAAAGCCGGTTTACTGCAGAGAGCTCTGGAGCATTACAGCGACCCCGACGACGTCAAACGGGCCATCGTACACACACACCTGCTCAACACCGAGGTGTGTCTGTGTGTGTGAGAGCTAAAGGACTCCGGAAGTGCATTTTTATGTGATTTTATAATGCTTCCTGAGTCATAATTTCGATCGTTTCTACCCTGAATTTCGCCTCTGATTTGTTCGATTCGTCTGAAGGGGCGTGTCAATGGAAATGCCCACTGCTGTGATTGGCTAACATCTTTGCATATTAAATGAGCATACATGTGGAACTCTTTTGAAAACTTTTGCTGCATTTTTACTGTAACAGCCGCCAAGATGAACAAATCATGAACAGTGTTGATTATAACATTATATTTAGAGCATCAAAGGTTGCAATATAAGTAAAATAAAATTATTTTTGTATTTTTACTGTAAAATAATTCATATTTTTATTTAATGCTCTTTTGAATTTTAAAATATATTATCACCCTTGAAGTTTTTGTTTATTATTTAAAAAACTAAATAAAGTGCAATAATACTATTATCACTGTTGTGAATTATTTAAATTTTTACAGTTATATTTAACGAGTCGCACTATGTTACACTATGAGTACCTTATTTACGTATTACACATGAAATGCAGTTTCAGATTTTTATATTATGTTTCTCGAGGTTAGTCTGTAAAGATAAGTTTTTTTTGCAACAAAAAAGGCCTTTATTTTCTTAACAATAGTATCAACTTTTTTGATGGATTGATGGAGTTTTTTTCAGAAACTCCTCCTCGATTATGTATGCTGATGATGCGTGTCGAGGGGGAATTGTGATGTCATGATTCTCCCGATTTCACATCCTGGCTTCTCAGAAGTGTAGAAAACAATCATATTAAAATGAGTTTGTTTTGTGAACAGAAAATTTTAAATACATTTTTAAATTTTTTAAAATTAAAATGTTTACATGTTTTTACATTTTTATAGTCACATTTTTTAATGTTTAAATTTACATTTTTTTTTTTCAAATGTTTACATTTTTTTAATTCAAATTTTGAAATTCAAAATTTTTTATGTTTACATTTAAATGTTTAAATTTTTTAATTCACATTTAAAATTTTTTTAATTCAAATTTGTAAAAAAAAAAAAATTTAAATTTTTTAATTCAAATTTTTACATTTTTTAAATAAAAATTTTTACATTTTTAATTAAAATTTTAACATTTTTTAATTACAATTTTTACATTTTGATATTCAAATTTTTTTATGTTTAAATTTCAAATTTGTTTAAATAAAAAAAAAATATTTTTTAATTAAAATTTTTTAATGTTTACATTTAAAAAAATTTTATTCAAATGTTTACATTTTTTTATTAAAATTTTGAAATTCAAAATTTTTTATGTTTACATTTAAATGTTTAAATTTTTTAATTCACATTCTTAAATTTTTTAATTCAAATTTGTAAATTTTTTTAATTACAATTTTTTAATTTTTAAATTAAAATGTTTAAATTAAATTTTTATTTTTTAAAATTTACATTAAACATTTTTACATTCAAATTTTTAAATTTTTTAATTCAAAATTTTCCTTTTTTCAAATTCAAATTTTTACATTTTTTAATTCAAATTCAAGAAAGTATGAATAAAGTTATTGTCAGTCAGAGCAGTATTGGACATTTAGTGTTGTTTTTCTTCTCTCTCTCCGTCAGTGGCTGGTGAATTTCTTTGGCTCTCTGTCTGTCGGTGACTCCGTCGCGTGTCTGAGGGCCATGTTGGCTGCAAACCTGCGTCAGAACCTGCAGCTGAGCGTTCAGATCGCCACCAAGTACCACGAGCAGCTGGGAACGCAGACGCTGGTGGAGCTTTTCGAGTCGTTCAAGAGCTACGAGGGTGAGACGCTCGCGACCGCATGTGTTTGTGAGGGTGGTGTGCTGAATGATTCCTCATTTCTGTGTGTCTCGCTCAGGTCTGTTTTATTTTCTGGGCTCTATCGTGAACTTCAGTCAGGACCCCGATGTGCACTTCAAGTACATTCAGGCGGCGTGTAAGACGGGTCAGATCAAAGAGGTGGAGCGCATCTGTCGAGAGAGCAGCTGCTACAACGCCGAGCGCGTCAAGAACTTCCTCAAGGTACTCGAGAGAGAAACCAAGATCATTGATGCATTCAGTTCGAAAAAATCTCTCAATAAATCCAGTTCAATGCATCTGTCTTCATATATGTGACTTTTATTGGCATAATTGTTAAACACACAATATTAACCGAAGCATTAATACAGATGATGAGTTATGGTAATACAAATAATAATAACACCAACAAAAAAATCATTCAGCATTAGATCACATTTACATTTTTAAATCAAATTAACAATTTATTTTCATTTATTGTGTTTCATTAAATTAATAATAATAAAATTAAACATTAACTATAACTTATATTTACATTTTTACTTTTAATTAACCTTTTTATTTTAATTAATTGAATGAGTTGAATTTAATAAATAACAATAAAATAAACATTCAACATTAGCTTACATTAAAATTTTTAATGTAATAATTTACAGTGTATTTTTAATTAATTAAAATAAATTAAACGAATTAATAACAATAAAATAAACCTTTAACATTAGCTTATATTTGCAGTTATTAATTTAACTAATAACAATTTATTTTAATTAACTGAATTAATTTGAACTGAATAAAATAAACATTCAACATTAAAGTTAATTAGTTAAAATTAACCATTTATTTTAATTTAACTAATTAAATTTAAGTAATAACTATAAAACAAACATTCAATGCAGCTTAATGTACATTTTTTTATTTAATTATTAACAATTTATTTAAATTAATGAACAATAAAATAAACATTCAATATTAGGTTATATTTAAATTTTTACATGCAATTATTAACAGTTTATTTTAATTGACTAAACTGAATTGAACTAATAACAATTAAGGGTGTATTCACACCAGAAAAGCCCGCTGGTTCACTTGCTTTGGTCCGGACCAAATACAATGTAGATTTTTTTTGTTTGGTGCGGTTCGCTTTCACACTGCCCTTTTTTGCAAGTGAACCAGAAATGATAAACAATACCACACATGTGCTACGGTCATCCATTTACTGGAGAGAAATTCTCAAGCAGTGAAATACAGGAAGTGCAAAAACAGGCTAATCATGGAGATCTTTCGTAGTGCAATTTTTTATTCTTTTACTGATTTGGTGTTATCAGATAATAACACAATGTGAGGAAACTTATGAGCATCATATGAGACGATGTCATGCGATGTTGTAATTACGACTTGCCGAAAATAAAATCTATAGATATAAAATACTTAAAGTCCCCATGAAATCGAAATAAAAGTTTTTTGGGTGTTAGTATCAATATATTAGTCTTAAGGTTGTCTATAAGGCAGTGTTGCTCCAAAACGGTGACAAAATTCGCATTTAGAAGATATAAGCATTCAAAGCTTGCAGTTCGTCACTTCCGACAAAACGGCTCTACGATTTTTTTGACGTCACATTGTACTTCAGCTTCTCATCAAACTTTCTGTCCAATCAAATTCTCTCTAGAATCCGAAGCCCCGCCCCCTACACTATAAAATAGACGCTGAAGCCGCGGCTGAAATCGGTCACTTGTCCACAGAATTAGTATTTTCTGTACAGTGAATGGCACGCAGTGCACTATATAGGGGACAGGGAACGATTCAGACAGTGTAAATATGCTTTCCATTGAGGAAAGAAGTCTGGTTTGGCGCTGTGTCACGCTAACCACCGCACCGCACACACTCTGCTCCGGTCCAGAGACACGGTAGCACGGAGCGGATCACATGCGTGAGTCGCCGCAGACCACAAAATGTATCGGAGCTATTTGAATTCTACACAGAATGCTATATTTTATAGCAATATCGATGAGATTGTGGCTGGCATACCCTGTCAAATGCGGCTTTACAGAGCTCAACAGCTCTGAACGACTCTAGCCCAAGCTGTGATAAAAATGAACGCTATTAGCTATTTTAAAAAGGGGCTGCTTGACATGCCCCGCCCTGTCTTCCTGTTTCAGTTAAAATGACGTCAACACAGAGTAATGCTGCAGGTTTCTAAGCATTTCAGGGGACCTTTAAAGCATATCGCAATGTTAGTTTAAACATTTAACCTATATAAATGTGCGCTATTAGGTGCATATACAATCGTTTGTGTGGAGAGTGGAAGCTGAAGCATGCTTCAGGACATCAGTGGAAACAAATGAAATACGACGTCATTTTTGCTCATAAAGGTAAGAATAAAACATAGTTCGGAACTGTAAAGGGTCCATTTTTATTTGTGTGCACTCACAGTATCAAGAAAACGTTGTGCTTTTGTAAAATAAAGAACACAAATAGCTTCATAAAAATGCACCGACACTCAGCGAATATTTTCCTAACAGACATGATGAATATATCTATAGAGAGCTTTAAATGACTGCAAAACGAAATAATTCAAATCCAAAACAAAAACTCTTATGTAATCCGTAAAGATGCATTTCTCTCTAAAGGAGCGTCCAGTGATGAGATGGCAACTTCATCTTTGCGACACTGACTCATAAAACACTACTTTATTAATAAATAATTCAAATATCTCCTTACTATTTTCCCCCAACATAGTCATGGTAATTTTTGCGGCAAGCTTTAGCCTATTGAGCGTGCTCACGTCACGTTGCTGTGCGCCATGGTCACGAAAACTCATCATTTGCATGTGTTTTTAAGCATTGTGGTTTAAAAACAAGTGATTTAAGCCATTGAAACGCAAACAACAGCACTATATGCGCGAGCTGTCTGTTTCTGAGCGTGATTTCTGCAATTGGGGCGGATCGAGGTCGGGTCATATTCACACCATTAATGAATCGTACCAGAGTTGGTTTGGAAGCGGACCGAGACCACCTCTTCAGCTGGGTCTCGCAGCAGTTGTTTGGTCCGCACCCGAGTGCGATTGCTGTATTCACACCTGCCAAAAAGGTCCGCACCAAGAGGGGAAACAAAGACAGGTGTGAATACACCCTAACATTCAAGACTGGCTTAAATTTACATTTTTATTTTAATGAATGATTTGAATTCAGTTGAATTAATAAGAATAAATTATTCAACCTTAGCTTACATTTACCATTTTTAATTTTAATCGTTAACAGTTTAATCGTTAACTCCCCCTTTTTGCATTTCTCTTAGATTATAATTTGTATAATAATTAATCATATAATCATGTTTATGAATTGTCTCACACTCTACTGCTTTGATTATATAAATGCATTCTAATTATTTTTGACAGTAGAATATAGCTTTATTTGTGATGCCAGTAAACTCATCAGATGGACTATGGACTTGATTTGTATTTGTAATCAGGTTTTTGTTGTCGTTGCACAGGAAGCCAAACTCACCGATCAGCTTCCTCTCATCATCGTGTGCGACCGCTTCGATTTCGTCCACGACCTCGTGCTCTACTTGTACCGTAACAGCCTGCAGAAGTACATCGAGATCTACGTACAGAAGGTACAGCGAGAGTCCTGAGCTCATCATGCACACACACACACACACACGCTGCTGATCTGGAGAGTTCATGTGTGTGTTTGCGCTGCTGCAGGTCAATCCCAGCCGGCTACCGGTGGTGGTCGGGGGTCTGCTGGATGTCGACTGCTCCGAGGACACCATCAGGAGTCTGATCCTCGCCGTACGAGGAGATTTCAGCACTGATCAGCTGGTGGAGGAAGTGGAGAAAAGAAACCGGTAGAACTGATCCCGTTCTGTCCTTTTTCTTCACCCGCTGCTTCTCTCAAGATCAAAACACACAATTTCACATGAAAAAGGCTTTTTTTTCTAGCAGTGAAGTGAAAAGTCATTAAATGCATTGGATATTTGTGATATATTTCTAATATAATATAATAATATCTGACCATAAGGGTCACATTTTCAATGATGTACAAATTGAGATTTATACATCATCTGAAAGCTGAATAAAATAAGCTTTCCATTGATGTGTGGTTTGTTAGGATAGGACAATATTTGGCCGAGATACAACTATTTGTATTCTGTATTCTGAGGGTGCAAAAAAATCTAAATATTGAGAAAATCATCTTTAAAGTTGTCCAAATGAAGTTCTTAGCAATGCATATTACTGATAAAAATTAAGTTTTGATATATTTACGGTAGGAAATTTACAAAATATCTTCATGGAACATGATCTTTACTTGATATCCTAATGATTTTTGGCATAAAAGAAAAATCAATCATTGTGACCCATGCAATGTATTGTTGGCTATTGCTACAAATATCCCCCAGCGACTTAACACTGCTTTTGTGCTGCAGGGACACATATTAATGATGTATTCATGAATATAAACAAATCGACTATATATAAAATTTTAAATATACTAATATAAAATGAATTTACTATATAAAAATGTATATAGTAATATAGAATGAATCTACTATATAAAAATGAATATATAAATATAAAATAAATCTAGTATATGTAAAACAAAAAATACATATATAAATAGAAAATGAATGTACTATATATAAAATAAAAATGTATTTAATATATATATATATATATATATATATATACATATATGTGTGTAAAATAAGAAATGTATAATTAACAAATATATGTAAAATAAAAACTGCTTATATTAATATAAAATTAATCTAGTATATCTAAAACAACTTTTTTATTAAAATTTTATTATTTTATTAAAGTTTTATGAAAAACTTTCTTTTTGCAGAGCAAATGCATGTCAAATATCATCAAAAATATCATATATATTCTTATGAAATATTTTTTTGAGCTAAATTATTTTAATATCTATATCACCCAGTCCTAACACATAGTTTGACAATCAGATCCGTCAGTGTCTCGTTTTCTCCAGACTGAAGCTGCTCGTGTCCTGGCTGGAATCTCGTGTTCAAGAGGGCTCTGAAGAACCCGCTACCCACAATGCACTGGCAAAGATCTACATAGACAGTAACAACAATCCTGAGCGCTTCCTCCGAGAAAACCTGCACTACGACAGCGTGACCGTGGGCCGATACTGCGAGAAGAGAGACCCGCAACTCGCCTTTGTGGCCTATGAGAGAGGACAGTGTGACCTGGAGCTCATACAGGTGCCTTCTGCTCTCCACGGCTGCATTTATTTGATCAAAAATACCATAAAATCAGTAATATTATGAAATATTTTTACAATTTAAAATAACCACTGTCTATTTGAATATACTGTAAAATGTAATTTATTTCTGTGATCAAAGCTGTATTTTCAGCATCATTACTCCAGTCTTCAGTGTCACATGATCTTCAGGAATCATTCTAATATGTCCTGTAGGTGTGCAATGAAAACTCCCTGTTTAAAAGTGAGTCGCGGTATCTGGTGCGGCGAAAAGATCCAGATCTTTGGGCTCAAGTTCTGCAGGAGACGAACCCATACAGACGGCCGCTGATAGATCAGGCACGAGTCACACCTGAAACATCTACAGATATCATGCAGTGTGTGATCATTGAGATGTTAATGATGAGGTTGTGTGCACAGGTGGTTCAGACGGCTCTGCCGGAGACGCAGGATCCAGAGGAAGTGTCTGTGACGGTGAAGGCGTTTATGACGGCCGATCTGCCTAATGAACTCATTGAACTTCTGGAGAAGATCGTTCTGGAGAACTCCATATTCAGTGAACACAGGTCTGTCTGAGAGACTCCTGTCACACCGTTTGAGATCAAATTCATATTATACCAGAGACCATATTTGTGACCCTGGACCACAAAACCAGTCATAAGTGTCAATTTTTTAAAATTGAGATTTATACAACATAAATAATACTAAATATACTGAATAAATAAGCTTTCCATTGGTGTATGGTTTGTTAGGATAGGACAATATTTGGCCGAGATGCAACTATTTGAAAATCTGGAATCTGAGGGTGCTAAAAAATCTAAATATTGAGAAAATCATCTTTAAAGTTGTCCAATTGAAGTTCTTAGCAATGTAAATGTTATATATTTACGGTAGGAAATGTACAAAATATCTTCATGGAACATGATCTTAACTTAATATTCTAATGATTTTTGGCATAAAAGAGAAATGTATAATTGTGACCCATACAATGTATTGTTGGCTATTGCTACAAATATCCCCGAGCGACTTAACACTGCTTCTGTGCTCCAGGCTCACATATCACGAGGTGAAATTTTATGTAATGGTCCAAATTAAATATATAATGAATAAAATGCATGGCAAAAATCACAAAGATTGTGCAAATAAAGGATTGTTTTTGACTGACAGGAAAATCATGTAGTTGGAGAGTAGCTGTGTGGAGCATCAAAAGTAGATTATAATTATTATATTATATTGAATAAAGATTGATTGTTTTGTTATATTCCTAATTTTTAAGAAGCATTGAATAAAAGCACATGCTAAATCTAAATGTATTTAAATGACAAATGTAAATACAATAAAAGTACATATATTAGATTACAATGTTTAATATTTTATTTTGTTTTATTTAGATTAACCACTGTTGAATAGTACCTTTGCGTAAAAGCATCCGCTAAATTAATAAATGTAAATATATTACATCACAACATTATTATTTAATTATAAATTCAATTAAGATTCATCTCTTTATTGTATTGCTCAGTTGTAAGTAGTTTTGAATGAATGTATTGTATTATATTATTAAATTATATTATTAATTTAATTAAGATTGATTGCGTTGTTATACATCTCATTTCATTGTATCTGCTAAATGAATAGATGTAAGTGCATTTTATTCTATTCCATTCCATTATATTATATTTGTATGTTATATTATATTATAATGCTGAATTAGGATTAATTGTTTTGTCTTTTGCATCAGGAACCTGCAGAACCTGCTGATCCTGACGGCCATCAAAGCGGACCGGACGCGGGTCATGGAGTACATCAACCGGCTGGACAATTACGACGCTCCTGACATCGCCAACATCGCCATCAGCAGCGAGCTGTACGAAGAGGCCTTCTCCATCTTCAAGAAGTTCGACGTCAACACCTCAGCGATTCAGGTACACAAACACATGATCACGTCTGCACACAGACGTCTGGACTGACAAACGAGGAATATAATAAACTGATGCAGGTTCTGATCGAGCACATGGGCAATCTGGACCGGGCGTACGAGTTTGCGGAGCGCTGTTCCGAGGGCTCGGTCTGGAGTCGGCTGGCTCAGGCTCAGCTTCAGTCTGGTCTGATCAAAGAGGCCATCGACTCCTACATCAAAGCTGGAGAGCCGTCGGCGTACATGGAGGTGGTGGATGCTGCCAGTAGAAACGGTGAGATGATCTGTCCTCAAACATCCTTAAAGGAGTAGCTCACTTCCAGAACAAAACTTTACAGATAATGTACTCACCTCCTTGTCATCCAAGATGTTCATGTCTTTCTTCAGTCATAAAGAAATTATGTTTTTTGAGGAAAACATTTCAGGATTTCTTTCCATATAATGGACTTCTATGGTACCCCCGAGTTTGAACTTCCAAAATGCAGCTTCAAACGGCTCTAAATGATCCCAGCCGAGGAAGAAGGGTCTTATCTAGCGAAACGATCGGTTATTTTCTAAAAAAAATTACAATTTATATACTTTTTAACCTCAAACGCTCGTCTTGTCTAGCTCTGTGTGTTTTTTCCGTTTCAAGACAGTTAGGGTATGTCTAAAAACTCCCATCTCATTTTCTCCTCCAACTTCAAAATCGTCCTACATCGCTGCAGAAGTACCGACCCAGTGTTTACAAAGTGAACACGCAAAGAAGATCAAAAGCCATTTACAAAAAAATAGTTTTTAGACCTACCCTAACTGTCTTGAAACGGAAAAAACAGAGTTCACACAGAGCTAGACAAGACGAGCATTTGAGGTTAAAAAGTATATAAATTGTATTTTCTTTTAGAAAATAACCAATTGTTTTGCTAGATAAGACCCTTCTTCCTCGGCTGGGATGGTTTAGAGCCGTTTGAAGCTGCATTTTTAAACTGCATTTTGGAAGTTCAAACTCGCCATAGAAGTCCATTGTATGGAAAGAAATCCTGAAATGTTTCGCTCAAAAAACAATTTCTTTACGACTGAAGAAAGAAAGACTTGGATGACAAGGAGGTGAGTACATTATCTGTAAATATTTGTTCTGGAACTGAACTACTCCTTTAACACTAGAATCGCCAGGGGTCGCTGTATACCTAAAACCGCCATGCACATGACTACTGTTTTGATATAGCTAAATAACATTATTTCACTGAATTTATTTATTTATTGCCAAACTATTGGAATTTGCTTGGGGAGCTCATCAACAATTATAACATACATTAAAATACATACATAAATACAACTATACATATATGGCCTATCAATTATAAGGAGTGAAATGCAGATGCATAGATACCAGAGGAATTAAGAGCATGCGCAATCCTACAATAAGTGCTGTTCAGAAAACGTGTAGACTACGTTTTAATTGCTGAAGGAAGAGGCGTAAGTTTTTCTGCAAACGTGAAACATAGATCTCATCAATAGTGGGGCGATCACAACCGATAATTTTCGAAGCAGCTCGAGTTATGTTACTAATCTGACTTCTCTGCTGAGCTGTGGAGCTACCAAACCACACTATAAGTGAGACAGTCAGCACGCTTTCAATGACAGCTCTATAAAAATTGAACATACCAACTTTAGATAAGCCAAACTTTTTAAGCTGTCTTAAGGAAAAAAATGCCTTTGAAGGGATTTTTTAATAATGCCTCTTAGGTTGTCGTCCTACTTTAACGTTGCAGAGATGGTAGTCCTGAGAAACTTAAAACATTGAACATTTCCTGACCATTAATAGTCAATGGCAAAACAGCATTTGTCCTCCGTCGGAAATCAAACACCATTTCCTTTGTTTTTAGGACATTCAACTTGATTTGTCCTCAGACGTCCTTAAACTGATGTGGAGATGGCTGAAAAACGTCCATAATATGCTGTAAATTGATTGAACAATATCCCAGGCAATTGTCTGTTTTTATAGGGAACTGGGAGGATCTGGTGAAGTTTCTTCAAATGGCGAGGAAGAAAGCCAGAGAGTCGTTTGTGGAGACGGAGCTCATCTTTGCTCTGGCTAAAACAAATCGTCTGTCTGAGCTGGAGGACTTTATCAACGGCCCCAACAATGCTCACATACAGCAAGTACGGAGATTTACACACTTTTAACATTAGCTAGCTTCCTTATCTGATAAATCTCTCTCTGTATCATTTTTTAATTGAAGTTTTATTTCAATATTATTGCGATACTATTATAGTTGTTGTTTTTTTATTATTAATTTTGGATTCGTTTTTATTGTTGTTTTTTTTATATTAATTTGAGCAATTTTGTTTTGGTCTTTTTTAATATGTCAATATAGTTTTTTATCAATTGAGTAAATCAGATTTAACTTAGTAAAAATTAGGAATGTTGCCTTGGCAACTAGCTGAAATAATATAATAATAAAAGTAAGTTTAAATTTTATTTCATTTAATGCTTACTATATTTCAAGTAACAAAAATTTCAAGTTTTTATGGTTTAAGTACCTTATAAACAATAACTTAAACAACTCTCGCACTCTTTTTGCTACTGTTGAGAGACTGACAAACCCCCCAAGTCAGATTGCCAGTGAAATGCTCTCCGACAGCAAATGCAATGAGTTTGCTTCCTTCTTTTCTGAGAAGATCAATAATATCAGGAAGGCGATTAGCACATCCTCAAGTTATGCAGAGGTCAGACAGATTCGACCGCAATTTTAAAAAGAAGTTACCATGTCTGGTTTTGAAGAAATTGATATAAAAATTTTGGAAGAAATAGTACAGCACCTTAAATCGTCAACCTGCTATCTTGACACACTTCCCACATCTTTTTTCAAAAGTATGTTTAACTGTTTAGAAGCAGATCTCTTAGAAGTGGTGAACGCCTCACTTCTTTCTGGGACTTTTCCAAACTCCCTGAAAACTGCAGTTGTTAAGCCCCTTCTGAAAAAGAGCAATCTTGAAAACACCATATTGAGCAAATAAAGACCAATATCAAATCTTCCTTTTATAGTCAAGATTATTGAAAAGATAGTTTTTAATCAGCTGAAAAACGACTTATTTCAATCTGGTTTCTGAGCACTCAGATCATTAGGATCGAGTCAGTTAGAAATACAGAGGGTTCACACAAAACAAGTGGAATGTGCTTTTAGTTATTATGCCGCCCGCAGCTGGAATCAGCTTCCAGAAGAGATCAGATGTGCTAAAACATTAGCCACATTTAAATGCAGACTCAAAACTCATCTGTTTAGCTGTGCATTTATTGAATGAGCACTGTGCTACGTCCGAACTGATTGCACTGCATTTTATGTTTTACCATTTTCTATTTTTAACTGTTTTAAATTCATTTGAAATAAATGTTTAAATTCCTTGTTTTATTGTTGTGATTATTTTTATGATTATTTTACTTCCTTTTACGTAAAGCACTTTGAATTACCATTGTGTATGAAATGTGCTATATAAATAAACTTGCCTTGCCTTGCCTTAATAACCTTGTAAATATACAATTATATTGTTATTAATATATAATACGTTGTTATTAAATATACGTATATAAATATATTATATACTATTATATAATATATTGTTATATATATAATTATATACTTGTATTATTATTAAATATAAAATATTTTATATATAGTATAGATATAGTTTGGTATATATATATATATGTAAGAATAGTAATAGATAAGAGAAGATAATAGAAATATAACATATTTCATGTAATGAAGTTATTAATAATAATGATAGCAACAACAATATATTATGCATATATATTTAATATTAATGATAGCATGTTTATATTTAAAAATGAATATATTTTAAATTATTAAAATAATCGGATTTGAAACATTTTCCCTAATGCTTAATAAATAATCCATAATAAATTGTTTTTTAAGATTAATTTATCATCTTGTTACATTGTGCATACATAATGACAGTAGCAGAACGTGTGCTTTGAGATCTATCACTTGAGATCACCGGGGTCTTCTTGTATTATTTTCAGTGTGTCCAGTAACATGTTTCTGTCTGTAGGTTGGCGAGAGATGTTATGAAGAGGGTATGTTTGAAGCCGCCCGGCTGCTGTTTAATAACGTGTCTAATTTCGCTCGTCTGGCGTCCACACTCGTTCACCTCGGCGAGTTTCAGGCGGCCGTTGACAGCGCACGAAAGGCCAGCTGCACACGCACATGGAAAGAGGTGAGAGATGAAGACGTTATTAAATACATCTCGGTAAACTAGGGTTGATTGAAATGTTTTAAACAAAGGAATTACTTAAAGTAGGGGTGGGCGATATGGCAAAAATGTCATATCACGATTTTTTTGTTTTTTTTCAGGAATGTCACGATTCTTTGTCATGTGGGTTTTACTATTTTGTCTGAGCAGTACAGCCAAACTAATTTCCCTATTTTAAAAGCAAAGCCTTACAAGGAAACAAAATATAAAGTAAAAAAAGAATTGCTGATATTTAGGCCAATGTGGGCGAAGATAAAAAACTTTGTCATTATTTTATCTTTGTTGTTAAAACAAACAGTGCTTTATTTTTCTGGTAAAGCAGGTGTATTTAGCAGGAGCATTCAAGATTGAACCAACAAAACATAAAAATAAAACACTATATTCACTGTATAAATTATACATAGATTCTTATTAAAGCAACTGTATTAATTTTCTTCAGTCAAGAGCAGCGAGTGATTTTTCTTTTCTGTCATCTGTCTGTCAATTCTGTCATAATGTTTTATTTTATACCATAATTTACTCAATCTCAAGTTGTTGTTAACCTGACTGAGTTTCTACTTCCAACAAGTCATATATCCTTTTGAAGGAATTTTAATTGAGAATGTGAAAATAAAAAGAACTCATTTTTGAAAATGTGCTCATTCCGACTCATTTAGTCAGAACCGGTCACATATACAGTAACTGCATTTTATTGCACCATATGAACATGTGAAGTTGACAGCCCTACTTTAAACATTAAAGTCATGTGTCATGCACAACTGGTTTGTAGCGTCCTGTAATGTGTGTGTCCTCACTGAAATCTCAATCCTGCTGTATTTTTAGGTGTGTTTTGCGTGTGTGGACGGAGAGGAGTTCAGGTTAGCGCAGATCTCCGGCCTTCACATCGTCACTCATGCTGATGAACTGGAGGAGCTCATTAACTACTATCAGGTGAACAACCCTCACAATCTCAGTCTGTGGATGAGCTCAGTGCGGGTTTGTGACGTCTTCTCTGTGTGCGTCAGGACCGTGGGTATTTCGAGGAGCTGATGGTGCTGCTGGAGGCGGCGTTGGGGCTGGAGCGCGCTCACATGGGCATGTTCACCGAGCTGGCCATCCTCTACTCCAAATACAAACCCCAGAGGATGAGGGAACATCTGGAGCTCTTCTGGTCTCGGGTCAACATCCCTAAGGTGCGACTCTCGCTGATGTGTTCCTCAAAGTGTGAGCTGAAGGAATAAAAATGTTATTTTCTGCATTCTGAAAGCTGCTTCCTGGAGCTCGTATAGAAGAGCATGACGCTTGCAACGTGAAGGTCATAGGTTCGATTCCCAGGGAGTGCATGAACTGATTAGATGTAGATGGTGAATGCATTGTAAGCCACTCTGGATACCAGGCATCTGTGAAATGCATTTAAATGTAAATCAGTAAGTAAGGAACATAATAAAAAAATTGCTAAATAAATAAAGCGAGCTATCTGCACTGTAAGGACAGTTGTACTGAGGAAATTTCTTTTTTCTTGTTTTTTTGTTTCTTTTTATGTTGTAATGTTGCACAAGGGTAACATTTCAATGTTACATTTTGGTTTGATTATTTATCATATCTACACTACTGTTCAAAAGTTTGGGGTCGGGAAGATTGTTTAAATGTTTTTAAAAGTGTCTCTATCTTGCTCAACAAGGCTGCATTTATTATATTAAAAATACAGTAAAAACAGGTAAATTGTGAAATATTTTTACTGTTTCAAATAACTGTTTTCTATGTGACTTTCTATTAAAATGTAATTTATTTCTGTGATGCGCAGCTGTATTTTCAGCATCATTACTGCACTCTTCAGTGTCACATGATCTTCAGAAATCAGTATAATATGCTGATCTGCTGCTCGAGAAACATTTCTGATTATTATCAATGTTAAAAACAGTTAAATTTTTTTGTGAAAACCGTGATACATTTTATTTTTCAGGATTCTTTGATGAACCTAAAGGCGTTTATTTGAAATAGATATCTTTTGTAACATTATAAATGTCTTTACTGTCACTTTTCGACAATTGAATTCATCCTTTCGAATGGTAGTGTAATTAGCTATATAATTTTGACTTTTCTCTTGTTAATATTAATAATGATATGCATGCACTGCAGTAAAGGCTTTGTTGGAAAGGTTGTGTTTATGATTTGCTGTGTTGTGATTGGTCAGGTGTTACGAGCGGCTGAGCAGGCCCATCTGTGGGCGGAGCTTGTGTTCCTGTATGATAAATATGAGGAGTATGACAACGCCATCCTGACGATGATAACGCACCCCACCGACGCCTGGAGAGACGCTTCCTTCAAAGAGCTCATCAGCAAGGTCACATGACACGGATCACATGTTGCTCTTTCCTTTAAGCATCCACTCTGTCTCAGATGTTTCTCCAGTAGCTGTCCTGCAGCGAGAGTCTAGAGCTCTGAAATGATTGTGGAGCAGCTCAGATCCTCTGATGAGAAATGATTGAGTTTGAAGCATGCATACTTTGATATCTGAGCATATATGAGGATGTATATTGTTCTTGTTTTCGTTCGTCTCATTAAGGTGGCAAATGTGGAGCTGTATTATAAATCCCTGCAGTTTTATTTGGACTATAAGCCGCTGCTGCTCAACGATCTGCTGTCTGTTCTCGCTCCTCGACTGGATCACAGCAGAGCCGTCAGCTACTTCAGCAGGGTATGCCAACATTAATGCCTACAATTACTATATATATATATATATATATATATATATATATATGTGTGTGTAAAACAGTAAAACACCCACCCAAACAGTATGCATATCCTTCTGTATTCAAAATGCTGTGATACAGCATTAGTTTAGTATTATTTATATATTAAAGATTCTTAATTAGCTTTTATTTTATATTTTTAGTTTTATTTTTTTTTGTAGTTTGTTTTAGTCTACAAAATTTTATTACTGTACTTCATTTTAAATTTATTTTATTTCAATTAGTTCCCTAGCCTAGGCAACATTTCTACTTTCATGTCATTTTATTTTATTTTTTCTCTGTGATGCAGCTTTATTTAGTATCATTTATATATTATAGTGTACAATATTTTATTATTAGCATTTAGTTTTAATTATTAGTTAAAAATTATTTAAAAATTTGTTTTATTTTTAATTTGTAGTAGTTATTTTATGTGCTTTTGTCATTTTTATATTTCTACTTAGCTTTAATTTATTTTAATTTTATTATTTCAATTTAAATGTATTTTATTTCAATTAGATGCCAAGACAGCATTTCTACTTTTAATGTGAGTTTGTTTTTCATCTAATATTTTTTTTATTTTATTTTATTTTTTTCTCTGTGATGCGTTATTGTTTTAGTATTAATTAGCTTTTAGTTTTATATTTGTAGTTTTCAATTTTAATTTGTTTTAGTCATTTTGTTATGTGCTTTTGTGCTTGTTTTTATTAGTTTTTATATTTCTATTTAGGTTTAATGTATTTTTATTTTAGTAGTTTTATTACTTCAATTTACATTTATTTTATTTCAGTTAGTTGCCAAGGCAATTTTTATTTTATTTTATTTAAATTTTTATATATATATATATATATATATTTTTTTTCAGTTAACAGAACTGATTTGTATTAGTTTTAGTTTATTTAATAATGACAGCACTGCTGTGATGAGAGTCGTGTGTGTTTGCAGGTGAATCAGTTGCATCTGGTTAAACCGTATCTCAGATCAGTGCAGAGCCACAATAACAGAGACGTGAATGACGCGCTCAACAACCTGCTGACTGAGGAAGAGGACTATCAGGTACACTCACTCACACTCACTCACACACACACTCACTCACACTCTCACACACACACTCACTCACACTCACACACGCACACACACTCACTCACTCACACGCACACACACACACTCACTCACACACTCACTCACACGCACACACTCACACACGCGCACACACTCACTCACTCACTCACTCACTCACACACACGCACACACTCACTCACACGTACACACTCACTCACTCACTCACACACGCTCACTCACTCACCTCACACGCACACACACTCACACACTCACTCACTCACACTCACACACGCACACACACGCACACTCACTCACTCACACACACGCACACACTCACTCACACGCACACACACACACACACTCACTCACTCACTCACACGCACACACACTCACTCACTCACACACGCTCACTCACTCACACGCACACACACTCACTCACTCACTCACACGCACACACACTCACACGCTCACTCACTCACTCACACACGCACACTCACTCACTCACACACGCACACACACGCACACTCACTCACTCACTCACACTCACACATGCACACTCACTCACTCACACACGCACACTCACACACACACACACACACGCACTCACACACACACACACACACACACTCACTCACTCACTCACTCACACACACGCACTCACACACACACATGCACACTCACTCACTCACACTCACACACACACGCACACACTCACACACGCACACACACTCACACACATGCACACACTCACTCGCACTCACACACACACGCACACACACACACACACACGCACACACACACACACACACACACAAAAACACAAACACACACACACGCA